ATCCTCCACCGGAGGTCGAACAGGACGCGGTCGCTCGATCCTTCCCGTGAATCTCTCAACTCATCTCTGCTATTACGTTAAAGCAAATTGAGTGAAAATGTGAAAAATGAGTAACTCACAGTATTACGGAACGTTTTTGGTGGTGAACATGCGAGAACATTCATATGAACTGACTCGTAATCTAATACATATATAAAAAATATAAATAGATTCGAGTCCTCTTCTTTACTTTTAACGGCTTTCCATCTTCCCGCCTTTCTTGCCTATAACTACATCTCTCAACAATGTTCGATTTACAAGGTATAGGTATATGACTTTATTTGCAATATTACTAGACCGGAAGTGCTAGTGATCGCGTTCTTTCATATAGCGAGTACGTAATTCGGCGAAGAAACCCACGTGAGATGACAGTGCGAGAAGTGAGCGCTTTCGTCAAAAATACGTAATAAACGCCCAGAGATGAGTTGAGAGATTGCTCACGGTTGCGCGATCGCGTTCTATATGCTGCTATCGGCAGAGCATACAGACGGCTCAGCTCAGAAAAGAAATCGCAGCCCCTCGTTCGAAAGACCAATTTGATGGGAAAAACCTCTTCCATGGAGACTGCTGGCGGCTCAGAAATTAGTTGGAAGCAGAGATGAGTTAAATCCCTGAATTGGGCCGCCACTAGGAATAAGTGCATGAGCCGCCTTCATGCTCCACAGAGGACAGCAGAGATCACGACCGCGCAATCTCGTGAGCAATCTCCCAACTCATCTCTGCTTTGTATGACGTGACTGCTCTCATGTTCTCCATGGTCAATGCGTTAAGAAGTTTTAGAACAGAGAGAATCGGCGTTCGATGCAGGTAACGCTTGATTTTTGATCATTTAATGAATCCCTGCGTGTTCTGTTCGCTAACTTCACGCTTGTGAAGTAAGAACTTTGCCCGTCGAAGTTTTACCGGCTCTTCTGGGGGAGGGGGGGAATCCGACATAATCTACATAACCTATCTACTTACATGTGAGCGCGCTCAAAAAATCCAAGATGGCGAAAGCCTCGCACTTGGGACTCGTGCAATTCCTTTGATCTTTGATTATGTAAAATCACTTTCATGCTTCGTTCTATAATTGTCGATTTCCTCACGTTTTCGTACAAGCGGGAAGCGCCAAGTCGTGGGGAGTGAAAGAGGTTATGTCGCGAGTCTTTTGCCCAGAAATTTTGCGCCGTTTGTTAGTGCCGCGATAAGGAGAAGTGAGACCGAGTGGGAGAGAGGAAGAGAGAACACATCAGAATGAAGGAAATCGTACTGGCGGCTTTTTCGGTGGTGTCAAGTTTGCTCATTGTTTTTGGTCTTGTTTTACTTGGTAAGAAACTGTCCAAAGGAAACTGCGTCTCATGATTATAAATTACTTCAATATCATTATATTATTAGCGTAGCTTATTAATATTCAAGCAATTTAACCGTTTGACTGCTCTGAATGTGATAAAATTAAGCTTCAAGACGGTGTAATGATTTCGGTCATTTAAGAGAATTGCACATCTTAGTTTATACGTATATTACATGAGTTACACAATTCTATAAAATAATTTCTTTAAAAATATCATAGATGAAAAACATGTCCTTGAATGTGTTCATTTATTGTGTCGAAAAATGTTATCATTTTCATATAACAGATTAAATGAGTGCACATATTGATATATGCGTGTATTAAAACATGTTATCATTAAATTTCATCAAAATTCAGAGTCGTTCGTTCATCCATGTGGGATATTGCTTCTTATCACTGAAACAGTTATTTCTTCGCTACAGGTTGGTACCTCGTCTGGAAATTCTTCCTCTCGCGGTTCCGCTTTGTTCGAGAACTACTGGGTGGGATGAGCGAATCTTCTTCAGTAAATGATTTAAAGAGTGGACGGTCTCGTATAAAGAAGATTAGACGGGATTGAGTATTCTCCTTCCAAAACACGACAGGAGTAAATTATCTAACAAGATACATCATCAAGGGGCAGGAATCCCACTTTGAATTTATCATCATGTCCATAAACATACGTTGCGCCAACACCGACGATCTATTGAATATACAGCACTGCAATCTCCAGTGCTTGCCAGAAAACTACCAAATGAAATATTATCTATACCATGCGTTGTCATGGCCACAACTGAGTTATGTTGCCGAAGATGAGAAAGGCAGAATAGTCGGTTATGTGTTGGCTAAGATGGAGGAAGATTGCGAAGACAATCCCCATGGGCATATCACGAGTCTGGCAGTGAAGCGGTCTCACAGGAGACTGGGAATCGCCCAGAAGCTTATGAACCAGGCTTCGAGAGCAATGGTGGAATGCTTCGGTGCTAAATACGTTTCACTACACGTAAGACGCAGCAACAGGGCTGCTCTTAATCTTTACACGAGCAGTTTGCAGTTCGAGGTCTCCGAAGTAGAACCAAAGTACTATGCAGATGGCGAAGATGCCTATGCCATGAAACGAGATCTCAGCAGTTTTCATCAAGACAAGATTGCCATGAAAGAAATCAAGGATGGCAATTCGCATGTCCACAGTGGTAGATGCTGTGAACATTCTTAGCTGTCTCTGTGATGGCTGAATGTATAGCCAAATGGCAAGTCTTAGATGCCACCAAATGACAAATACTGATATCAAATCAGTGACCGTGTCACTTCCAGGGTGATGCGTCTTGTCGACCATTCAATATTCATGGGAAGCTATCCTATGTTATGATAGGTCTTATAGAGCACTCCATTGAGTAATTATTGTTGATTGTTCATGGACTGCCATGAGGTGTACAAAACGATTGTATCTCTAAATGAGTTGACTCGACACTTCATAATAAATAATTCATTTGAATACGGACTTATAAAGCTGACTTATTCATAAGATTAAGGTCATTAATTTATTGTTTACCACATAATTATATTTATATTCGTTACGTTATTAAAGGGGTTAGCCTACTGTACAATTTTAAAGAATGTAAAAGTACTGCACCTGAAACAGAGTCTGATTTATAAATCAAGCATAGATTAACAGTAAGGAATTTCCTGTAAATCTGCGACTGAACGCTTATTCTTTTGGTTCCGCTATAGGCTAATCCGATACACTACTGTACTTTGAGACGCTATGTCATTTATTTATGGCATTTATTCCATCAAAACTTGAAATCATCCTTCGACAAATCGTTCTTTTGAATTTCAATGTTTATTGAATTGTTGACATTGCGATACACATGTAATATGCTTTGATACACATTTTTCATTTTCGCTCTCCAACAAATGAACTACGCAGACTGTTCGATTCAATGTTAAAAATCGAAAAGTATTCCAAGCAAGTTGCATTCCTTTTTAGAACACTTTTTGATAACATTTCTTTGACACGATTACGATACTTAGGAAATTATTAGATTCGACCGTGTACTGGATCTCTCTTCCTCACTTTCTGTCTAAAAGCGAGTATATTTTTCTTCATCCTTATCATTCACGTCGATATTTGTGCATACATGTTCCGTTTGATTTATTATTAATAATATGTATAAATATCCTTATGTACATTGAATGCTTCTTAGTTTAATTCGTTTGACTCAAAAGAGGCTGAACCATAAAACGATAATGGCCAAATTGTTTTTAAATAATAAAAACGGGGCCCTTGATATTTTCTGAACCAGTAATTTCTTTCGAATACTATATAAAGTCAGAGTCGGAGTCAATTAAATGGCGTCTAAGTATATTCTGCATTCGGTTTCGACAACGGGAATAAATATTACGTATTCTTAGTCAAAAGAAAAGAAAAAAAGTATCCTGGAAATATGTGCCTTGGAAGTTTTCCTGATACGTTTTGATGTTGCTAAAATTGTCAATTGTTAAAAAAGAATTCGGGTGGTTTCTTCACGAATTGAAGGTATAAAGTAACGTAAAACATTACTGCATGAGCGAATATATACTCTGAAGAGTTTTGAAGGATTAAAAATTGGCCAATGGCATAGCTTCGATTAATGCACTGCGATTGCTTTTATTTAAACTTTAAATGGGAGTAATATAGCTTATCGATAGTTCGCTACATCGCTTCCATTCGAGCTTAAAATAAAGACTTAAAACACCTAAACGACAGTTCGACTAGTTGCAAAATTCATGCGACATCTCGTAATACTCCGAACGGTTGGGTATATGTATAATGGACGAAAGTACGAAGAGCCAAAAAATGGTACACGTCGAACGGGGAACGGAGTTCCCGAAAATGTTCGAACCCGTTCCCCGACTTGCGACATCGTTAACTTAATTGTAAAAAAAAAATCCGCCCAGCGTGTAAAAATTAAGCACCAACCGATTAACGTTCGCTGAAACGAAAGCAGTCCTCGATCATGCAATCGAAAGCTGCCAGTAATTTATACAGATATTAATCGACCGTGGGAATAATTAAATATAAATCGGGAGCGAAAAAATCGCTCGCAAATCTTTCGGCCGTGTGGATAAACGAAAAATGTTTACATCCCTTTCGATACTGCCTTATGTTCGCGGGACGAATTCCTAATCGTTAATATTCATCAATAAATTATTATACAATTCTCTTTACCGATATATATATATCTGTTATAGAATGCAGTTCATGCATTTATACTCTATGCGCGATATGCATTGCTACACATCCACACACTCGCACACATACTCGCGAAAAATACCGATGCAGCTTAGGAGTGTGAGGATCGCGTCGATTGTTAATAACAATTGCTCTGCGACTTGGGGACACTTTTTGGCGGTTTCGGATTACGGGAAATCGACGAAAAATTCGCTTGCCTCGCCGCGCAGGGGGGCAATTTAAATGTTACTTTGCCAGGAATAATTTCATCTTCCACTGTGTATCTTATGTCACAGGAATAACAAATATATTAGATGTCTAATGATAGGCTTAAAAAAAATATGGCGAATTGTCGGATGTTCTTAAACCCTGAGGATGGCATAAAAAATCTAATGATACAATTGTCAGCAAAACGTTGTGGTACATTACGGATAGAATTTGCAAACATTAACGCGATCATTCAGATATCACTTCATTGCTGGATACAAATAATTTTTTATATAAGTGCAATATTAAGACACATTTCATAATAGTCTTTTTACGAAAAGGCGCGAGTCAGGGAATTTTAAATATTTTCTTATTACTTTCTGGAAGGAATTATTTTCAACTTGGCCTTGTATATGGATATGTAGATTCCAAATGACAAGGCCCATAACAGAATGATGTACTAGCTGTAATTAATTAAAAAAAAGAAAAAAGAAACATTAGACGTCCGTATTTAAATGATTTGTTTCTTCTATATCTAAAATTACGCTTACATCCCAGATCCTAATGTTGCATGGCAATTGAACAATTTATGATTGCGGATAAAGCTGTGTAATGAAAGAAACGTTTTTTAAATGATTCTTGAAAACTAGTCGTTGGCAAAAGTATATTTAAATTGACCGGCTGTGCGGGGTGCCATTTGGAAATGACAAGGGTCGTTAGAATCTCTCAATTCCGATTTTCTCGATTAGAAAATCTTCGTCGTCGCGCGATGTGACAATGTTTTTTCTCCTTAAAAAGTGCGTCTCTGGTCGTTCTATCCGTTCGCGAGGACTCCTCGATACACTTTACGGTGGCTTGTAAAAAAATCAATCCAGTCCGCTCGTCAAGGAGGAACCCGTCGTTTCCGAAAAGTGTAGAAATTTGCGTATAAAATCACGGTGTAAAATCTTCAGAAAGTCTCGTAAAAAGAATGGAAGTTTAAGGTTCCCCGAGGCTCGTTCTCGATGAAACCGCCCCCTTCGTCCTTTTCACGTGGGAAAAGGATTGGTTCCTTCGTTCGATAATGGCATTTCCGGTGTTTCTCGAATTAGTCGATCTAATAACTCGTTCACAACAAATAATCTCTCAGTGATTCCCTATACTCTCACTGGGGTCACGCAGAATTACGCTAATTTTACAAAATCCCTATAATTACGATTTCTACTTCTTCTCTTTCTTTCTTCCTTTTTTTTTTCCGCCAGTACGTTCTCCATTTTTCTTTTAACGCAGTTTATTTAAAACTCGAGGCCTTTAAAGTAGCGTGTCTTGCTAATAATTACAGCGAGGTAATGTCACTTTAGGTCTCAGGAATCAAGCCATTGCGATACCTAATGCCGAGTTTATAATTACACCCATAATTAAAAAAATATATATGCATGTACTCACGGTTGAACGGTACTTAATTTCGAAGTCAACCAAGGCCTACGACTCCTGTCCGGTTTTTTTTTTTTAACCCAGGCATTGTTAAAATATCCTCCATTTAAATGATTGGCACAATGGGGTGGTAATGAATGTAAAAATCGTCAAATGTCGCCCGACGTAAACCGTTTGTTCAACCTTTATGCCATAACTTTGTTCCCACTAGGAAATTACATTATACTGGCTTTTCTATAAATTCATGCTTTCGGGCAGTTTTCTCATACATCTCTGAAGGAATTAAAAAAACCTTTCTTTACGTCCCTGAATATGCACGAATAATTTGTCACTCAATTCCGTCAATCCCTCAATGTTTTCGTTCGTCTTATCATAAATTGTTTATAATGTTCTTGTTTGCTAGCTTCCTCCCTTCGTAATTTTACATCTTAGGAGAACTAACAAAACCAAATCAGTCTTGGTAAAAAGTTTCCAGCGGCGAGAAACCTTTATAAATGTATCAACTTCGTCATTTTTATGGTTTATATTCAGGATTTTTAGTTAAAACCCCAGATTTTAGTCGAGGTTTTAAGGGGGGACGTAGGCTTGACGCAGTTGATTATTAATGATTCCTAAGATTGAATTATATATATATATAAAAGAAAATGAAAGTTCACCATAGTCATTACTTTGTATTTATATTCACTCGTTAGAAGAATGGAGTGCTTTAATGGTGTACATGATTTCGACTAAATTATTTGCAAGAAATGAATGCTACAAAACATAAGCGACGAGTATACTCGTATCTACAGAGCCAAAATTATTTATTAATGTTCAACAAACACAACCCATTCTATTTATTAAGAAAGACAATTCTTGCGGTATAAAATTTGATTCACCTAAGGGTCATATCCGTAACTCTGAAAATTGTCATTTGAAAATATTCATTAAGTTCTCTGTAAGTACGAGCACACATATCGCTTAATTTAGGGCATTTATTTCTGACAAATTGTTTAGTTAAAATCATGTACACCATTAAAACTCTGCGCGATGCACCGTGCTTCTCCAGAGATCTAATTTAAATAGAAAATAATAACTACGTTGAACTGTTTCCTTTTTCTATAATCTTCCTAGTAGCGATAATGATATACTACGGGTGAAAGTATTGTTGCTTGATTATTTTGCTTGCAATTCAACCCGAAAAAAAAAAGTGTGAAAAATTAATCGGCTGAAACTATGGTACCCCCCCTTAACAATTGAATCGAGTCTTTAATTCGCCTCAAAGATGCCACTTCGTGGAAGCAAATGACAATGCAATTTCATTGAAAAATTCCAAGTTACTCGCCAAAATCAGCGAGGTTCCCCTTAAGGTGATATCAAAGGCTCATTCTATGTATATAAAACGTCAAAATATATATACAACTTTTCTCCAAAGTGGATGCACCGAATCATTTGAAACATTAACGCAAGATTATAGAGGCCCTGAGGAAGAACGCGGTGCTCATGAAGTTTCACTTTTGATATATCTTTTTTTATTTAGCCCAGACTAGGACCAAGAATACAGTTTTTGTTTGAATAATGAAATTTCACGAGCATCGCGTCCTTCGTTAGGGTCTTCATAATCACGTGCTGAAGTTACACATGAATCGGTGCACCCAGTTTGTAGGAAAGTTTTATAAATATTTTCACGTTATATGTATGTACGCATATATACATACATATATAGAATGATCCTTTCATATCACCTTAACGTCTCGAATGCGTATTACCTAGATTTACGGCGCAACTATGCGTCGGCTAGCGAAGGCCTACGACAATACTATAGTTCGTAAGGTTATAGGAGTTTCGTCCCCTGCATACGGAATAAAGTCGAATACTTTGGCAGTAGCAACATCTCGAATTTCCTCGGCACCACGATCCCGAAGATCGTCTCATCTCCAGCAGAGACAAGCAACATTATTCACATGTATCATTCAATTACCGAGTAATCCCTGATCGCGCGTGTAAAAATCATTAACAAAACGGCATCTAATGTTTAATTGCAGTCATTTGTAATCGAGACTACAAACACCCTGCCATTAAGACGTGACAGAGTGGCGTCAAAGAGATTTCGTTTATGAAAATTTCCCCGAATTGGGTGTATTGAATCATTACAAAATTTACAACGCGATCATGAAGACTATAAGGAAGGTCCTGACACGCATGATAGTTCAGTTTTTTTTTTTTTAAATTGGTTATACACATTTAACCCTTTGCGTCCTAACAACGAATATATGCATACGACGTTTAGCCCAATATTGCTTGCACGCCCTGATGAATTTCGCTCATATATTAAAAGAGCTCCGTCCTCAAAGGGGTAAAAAATTGTTGTATGAAAAATGAAATTTCATGGGTGTCAGGACTTTCCTTACAGTCTTAATATTCACATTATAAAGTTTGAAACGATTCCGTAGACCCAGTTCGGAGGAAAGTTTAATAAACGATTGACTCCTTTGGATGCCACTTTCACATTCCCTTAAACAATTGATAATACATATACGCGAGAAAGTAATCACGCGCCTAATCACTAACAGCTGCCTCTTGCGATTCATGTTACAACTAGCGCTTTTAACCCTTTCATTGCCGTAGACACCTATGGGCGCTTTAAAAAATTCCTTGTAATGTACTGGTGGCACCCATAGGCGATTTTTTAATTTACTTGCAATATACCATTAGCGCCTATAGGCTATCGTCATCGTCAACGACGCAGCAATATCATAGCAACGGATAAAAAATAAAAAAGGGACCCGCGCTGTGTATTAAAATATACCGCATCGAAAGGGTTAATTAATCATTAAATGCCGCTCGAATAATTATTCACAGTCGCAGGGAGTTATTGCATCGTAATTAAATCACAAATACAAGTGAACGCCGTGCATCTGCCCCCTTTAAGACCCTGTCGGGTTCTAACGTTGCTTCGAACGTCGTTCTTGACTAGATCGGACACTCCTTGGAATAACGCGAGGTGGCGCTAATACATGAAATCTCCAATCTAACGTGAACGATCCCAAGTCCTGACATTGCCGACTAGGACGCCGATTGACACTTCCTGGGACCTTCGGGACCTGCTGCCACGACCCGATCCTTCTCGTGGAAGTCCTCGGAGAAGATCTTGGGACCCGTTTTCCTTGGATCAAGGAGTCGTTCGCCAGCGAGAGGATTTGAAGAGTCCACCCTCGGCTTGGATGCGTTTCCTCAGGGCTGCTGGGCCGCGTGGATCATCGCCACCTTTAGGTCCTTCGCCAGGTGGGACACGTCCACGACGCTGTCCACCATCTCCTGGACGGCGGTGACGCTCGGGAAAAATTGGGCAGCCTGCTTCGTCTTGGACACCGTTTGGCCCAACGCCTCGTTCAGCGCGTTTGCACACTGCAGGATTCGGGTTCTCACGTCGTTGCGGATCACGTTTCTGTGCACGGTGTCGCCGATGTGCACCAGCCTGTGCGCGCTGAGGACGACGAACTTCCCATGGGCCAGGAACACCTGGAGGAAAATGACTAAGGATGAAACTTCTATGTTGAAGGGGGCCATTATTGGCATTTCTTAGCTACTCTTTTATGAAACACCATTACGAGTTTAAGACTGCTTCCCCTGGTCGTAACAATACTTTGACACAAGGATGAATACACGTAGCCAAAATGTAAAGTACGGCTTTTTTTAATACGTCTTGCCTCGTGTTATAAATCGTGGCCAGATTGTCAAATCTTCGTTTACTTGGCTTTGTTTCACAATCCGGGTAGGCGTTTTATAAAACGACCAACGAGGCCATCGCTGCATTGTCAAACTCATTAAACCACCGCCTGTTCTACAGTTCCAGCTAAATTACTTCGGTCGGTTAGTAACTATCGTTTTAATCAACAAACTTTAATGGAATATATCAACGTCAATTTTCCTTCTCAACAAAATGATTCCTGTAATCATGTATGATTCAGGCAACGATATGCATATTTGTTTCAGTCAACTAATCTCATTTCTGAGGGTAGTTTCTAGGTACTCGATGGACTTCGAATATCACCCTTAAGGCGATATGAAAGTGGCATCACAGAGGTCAATCGTTCGTGAAAGTATTCTCCGAATTGGGTGTACCAATTTGTTTCAAATTTTACCGCATGAATAAAAAGTCCCTACGGTAAGTCCTGAAACTCGGGAAATTTCATTTTTTATAAACTACTTTTAAAATACCTATAAAGAAATTTGAAAAGAATTGAAATTTCATGAGTTTCAGGACCTTCCTTATAGTCTCCCTATTCACGTTGTAAAGTTCCAAACTATTCGGTAAACCGAGTTGGGAGAAAAGTTTTATAAACAAAATCTCTTCGACGCCGCTTTCGCATCACCTTAACAACTTGTGTGGCCCGATTTCTTGGATGTTGGATAATCTTCTGATCATCGATACGCTTAGTTTAATCCTTCGATGGGGAAATAAGGCTTTCGAGGACTAACGTGCACCTTGGGTGGTTGATTGTGTTCGACGGTCTGCAGGAAGGCGTCTATTGCATGGGTCAAGTGGGCGCCATGCGTGATCACTTGAGCGGCATAGAAGGCCAAAAGTTGCTTGTCGTTCGGGTCCATTGGAGTCGGCGTTGTCGGAGGCATCTGGATAGTCGCACTGTCGGCTTCCGAGACCAACAGGTCGTAGCTGCTTCGTAGTTCTTGAGGTAGGGTCGCCCTTAGTTCCTCTCGTTGCTTCGCCACCACTTCCCTCGAGTCCAAGTTAACGTAGTCGTAGTCTTCCCCAGGGCCACTGTTATTGCTGCTGCCTGTCGAGGTGATGGAGGACCGCTTGAAGAGCAGGGTGGAGTTGCCCTGAAAGAGATATTCCACTTTGAGAACCGGGTATTTTCCCAAACGCCTTTCGAATCTTCCGAGGCCATCTTTGGTTCATTCAGAGATTGCATTCAAAGTCTGAGTGACCTCGAAAACGTTTACCATTCAGAGGTCTGATCTGACCACGCCGTGACGTTAGCGAGGATTAAATCCTTCGGAAAGGAAGTGACTTTTTTTTTAGCGTTTATTTCACGTCGCATCAACTAAAGTGTCTCTAGCGACGGAAAATTAATAGGAGGTATGGTTGGGATTATTACAGCTGCTGTTGTAGATTAAGTAACTTGATGAACCGTAGGGTTTTTTGAATTTCATGAGGGTAAGGAAGTGACTTTGAAGTGACGTATACCGGAATTCAAGTCCTAGCTCAAATTTTCCGGCAGAGTGTTATGGATCTCCTTATAGGTGTAGCACACATTTTTGGCACAATGGGATTTGTTTATAAATTGTAATTCCATATGCACGGTAGGGATATAACCATTCGAAAGCTTTCGTTTGGAAGGAAAATAACTTCTTTTAATTAGATAATGAAACCGCAGCGACGGCTAGACAAATATTGTCCCTGTTCGAAGATATAAGCGATAGACACTTCGTTGCTGCTGGAAATTAATATTGCAACCGTGAATGGAATTTACGTTTCGAGGGTAAAGAATATTGCTGGTACGTTTTCAAGCGTTCACGTTCGTTGCAGCAAGTAAGATTTAATTATCTTTGTCGAGGCTAGTAAAGGGTCTCGTTATGACCGTCAATTCTTTTTCTTTGCGGGCAACCCTAACCGAGTTCATCGTCAATCTTTCGCTCGGGGATACGAACAAAGAAGGTCGATCTCTCCGATTTGATTTCTTTTATAATATGTTATAGTAGACTAAAAACTAAGCGACACGTATTTTTTTTTATCTGCCATTAAACACTTTAAGAGGATGAAACCATGATCCGAAGTAAGGCCTGTGAGGGGTGGCTCACCCCTCAATTTTTTTTTTTTAATTGAGAAAATTATACTTTTCATTTCTCGTTATGAGAAAGCTTTTCCAGGTGGATTGATTAAAAAATGCCAAATCGCCCCTTTACATGCCTTATTTTGGATGGTGGTTTCACCCCCTTAAAGTGTTTAATGGCAGATAAAAAAAAATACGCGTCGCTTAGTTTTTAGTCTACTATAACATATTATAAAAGAAATGAAATCGGAGAGAGCGACCTGGGATACTTTCCTTGGAAGAGGACTCACCTGAATGAAACTGGCGACCTGGCGAACGTCCTCGGTGAGCGCTCTGGCACAGGCGACCAGCTGATCGAGGGGATCCGGTTGCGCCGAGCCGATCAACGAAGGGGGTGATCCGTTTGTCGGTGTGGGGGTTTCGCCCCCGCCGCGACACAATTTCCCGGCGTCCCATTCCATGGAGTCGAGCTCCCCCGCGGCTTCCTGGACGAGTTTATCCGAATCCCGAAGGGCCTTCACCAAGGGTCTCAGCTTCGTCGCCAAACCCTTGTCGGGCGCCTTGCCGGCGTTTCCGAGAGTACCTAAAACATCCGCAAGCGCGTCTTCACGTCGGCCCTTAAGGGTGGCCCATTAACTTTCAAGGGGACTTTGTTAATCTCAAAGCTCTTCCGAGAGGAGAGGGCTTTCGGGTCCTTCCGCGACCTTCCCTAAAACCAGCGACTAAATAATCGCCGATACTTTAATTGCGATCATCCACCCGGGGGAGAAAAAATACGTTCAAGGGATGAACGTTCCAATTATCGACTCGATTAATGCAACGTCCATTCGAATTGTCAGATTGTCTTGTCTTGGAGGAATTTCAATAATTATTTCACTCAGGCATTTTTTCAGTCAAATGAACTCGAATAAATTGTCACATTAATCTTTGAATTAAGTGACGTCAAAGAGGTTTATGAAACATCTCTCCGAGCTGGATGTACCGAATCGTTTCAAACTTTACAGGGTGAATGTGGAGGCTATAAGGAAGGTCCTGACCCCCCATGAAATCAATTTTTTTAAAATTTGTTTACAGGTATTTTAAAAATTGTTTATACCCAGTACTCAGTTAGGAGAAAAGTTTCATGAACGATTGATTACTTAGATACCACTTTTACATCCCCTTAATGGCATATTTCTTTGGTACTGTTTCAAGGAAATATTTCTTCGGGTCAATGAATTGTTTTTCTCGGTGTAACATTTCTGAGCGCAGTCCAGATTTATGCCATGAAAGGAGATAAAGCAACGAGGGAAATTACCCTCGGCGAACTCGGCCAGGTCGTGGAGGGAAGTCCTGAGCCTGAGGGCGGCAAGTCGCAGGTCCATCAGGTTGGCGTCGAGCCTCTGGGGAGCCCTCCACCCTGGACCGACGAAGCCCAGGAGCCTGGCGATCGCCGAGGAGGCCTCGGCCTGCAACCTCTGGAGCCCTTCCAACGCGGAGTCCAGCTCCAGGGGGAGCTCTCTGCTGACCGGGACATCGTAGATCTGCTGGGGCTGTTGGGGTTGCTGGGGTTGCTGGGCCGGCGGCGGCGTCGGGGTCGTAGGCACGGGGGTGGTAATTCGCGAGGTCACCGACGACACCTGGGGACGGGCCCTGGGGACGTCGTAGTCGGGGACTGCGAGGCTCGACCTGGAATTACAGAAACTTCACCTTAAGCCGATATTTCAATCGCTCGACGGCAGACAGTAGTCCAAGTAGCAATTTTCAGAGCGATAAATAGTAAAGTGGCGGGCATGAATGCCTTCCTTGTAGATGTGGTGTTGCCAATGCACAACGGGAAGGCACTCATGTCCACCGGTCTACATTACGTAACGAGGGAGAAAAAGTAAGCAATTACGGACCGGGGTACGTTTCCTGCACGAGCGGAGCGACAATTTTTTTATTTTCTTTATATTTCTTGGCGAGGTTGTTGCTGCAGTATCAGCGAAACTTTATCAGTAATGCTGTCCTTCGCTAACACTGAAAATGACTTTTTTTCTCGTTCGAGCAAATGGATATCTGTCCAGTGAACCAACCCAATAAACGTTTTAACGTGATTTGAATGTATAGTGAACGATTATGAACGAATACTTTACGTACAGACTACGTTTAAACGATGTTCACGATACACAACTAAAACTATAGTTTATTATACGTAGAATAGACATGATATCGACGTTGAATTTGACGTGGAACCGGCGAAACCCGTTTTTTTTGCAACACGAGTTCATATTTCTGCAGACGTTTTGTCGGACGTGCGCGGACGCGGGTCTTTATATCCTTATTCGGGAAATCCCTCCTCGTGTACTTTAACGCAACGTTTTAAGGTTATTTGAATGTATAGTGAACGATTATGAACGAATACTTTACGTACAGACTACGTTTAAACGATGTTCACGATACACAACTAAAACTATAGTTTATTATACGTAGAATAGACATGATATCGACGTTGAATTTGACGTGGAACCGGCGAAACCCGTTTTTTTTTTTGCAACACGAGCTCATTTTTCTGCCGACGTTTTGTCGGACGTGCGCGGACGCGGGTCTTTATATCCTTATTCGGGAAATCGCTCCTCGTGTACTGGAAGGTCGGTAAAAACGGACCTGTTGGACCCGCTGAGGGAGCCGTCGTTGGTCAGGCTCGAGGCCGAGCTGCTCGGAGTCAGGGGCTGCAGAGGCCTTGGCACGTCGTAGCAGTCCAGGGGCGTAGCTGCGGAGACCAGGGAGCAGTACGAGTTCGGCGTGCAGGAGGTCGGGGGCCTGGGCACGTCGTAGCACGAGGGCGCCGGGCTGGGACTGTCCGCTGGGGAGGGCCCCACTGGCACGGCCCTGGGAGGGACGTCGTAGCAGTCGCTGACGTCGCCCCCGCTGTCCACCGAGCTGCGCGCCCCGGTCGGGTACCGCCCTGGGAACGAATTAAATGGTTTTTAATCACTAGACCTACTTTATAGTAGACTTTTATACTATTTTAGACTTTAAGTCTATTTTACGATAGACTTTCAGACTATTTTATAATAGACTGTTCCCACTCGGCGGAGAGCTGGACATTTTTTAGAAAGCTCTCTCAGGCGAGAAACGGTGAGAATATTTTCGTATCTCAAAACTGACCAGCTGATTGTCAGCTGAATAGCTTCGACGTTGACGCAAATCACTGGCGAAGTAATGAAACTTATCTTTAAGGGTCTTTCTTAAAGATGAAGTCTCCTAAAGCTAGCAGTGCCACCTCAGCATAACCGCATAAATATATATAATCATACACCAAAATTTATTCCTTTTTTGGGGTAGTTTTTGGGCTCAAGGGGTGGAGCGGAGAAATTGTAAATTGAGCAATAAATATGCAATAAATTTGTCCTAGATTTTGCACCAATTATTATTTTAATTTCACAGAAAATGTCAGGTGGCCCTGCCAGCTTAATGTTAAAACTGGCGTAGCAACTGATTTTTTTTTAAACGGCTGGAGTGACGTCAACTTTAATCGGGTCATCGAGATTGAACTATTTTTCCGCGTTTTAATCTGCTGACCGATATTCGAGGCGAGCGAGTTGCCTGAAAAATCGGCGAACTGGATCGGAGGTACCACTTGCCAAGGAGAGAGATTTTCTCCATCGAATAAAATCTCGCGAAGGAATTTTATTTTTCCTTATTTCCGTGGTTACCGTCAGAGAGGAAGTGAGAGGGGGTAGAGGGGGAATAATTAAACGCGCCAGTAAATTAATTCCCGGCGTAAATGAATCGGGAGAGCCCTCGACGAACGTAATTTCGCCGTCACACATTGTAGGCGGTTAAAAAGACTCGAGGGTTTAAATAGTACTCGGGACCACCCTGCGGTCTCCGCCTTCGTCAAACATATTCCTGGCATTATGGTCCCTCCGGAGGAGACTTCTCCCCGCAAGTATTGAGGGATAATTGCGCGGAAGGAAGGACAGGACTGGGGTGGAGTTCCATGCACGGAGTGAAAGGGGAAGAAAGGGTTGAACGGCGGGGGTGGAGCCGGTCCGAAACGTCAAACGCACGTGGCGCAAAATGCCGGACGGACGGTCAGGCGTCGAAACGTCAAAATCCTTGGATGGCATATCTCCGCTATTGAAAATGTTTCGATATTTCGAATACTTTCGGATGGATGCACAACCCTTTCGATAGGGCCGCGCTTATCGCCAGTATGTTTCCCCCAGGGGTTATTCACTCAGGTAATCAGGGATTTTATCGCTCGAAGTCACGTGGAGATCAGCTGGAAATCGCAAGCGGATATCACTGGATATCATTGAAAATCAGCAAAACGTTGACACAATTTTAAAGTCGACTGTCACTTGTTACCGAATCGCGTTGTTGTTTATCATATGAAATCAGAAAGGCTCTTATGCCTGGTTCCACCACCCTCGGTCAAAAAGATAATCCTCGGTTACGAGTTACACGTTCCACCCCGTTTTAACGGCAGCCTAATTTTCATTAACCGTCGTTTAGATTAACCAGCCAAGTTCAAGCGTTTAGCCTCAGTTAATCGAACTTCAACCTAGAAACTTCATAAACGTGAAGAGAACATGGACTAGATCAAGGATTGAGGATTAACATCTTACGACGAAACGAATGATAAGAGGTTTGCCTTTGTTTACAATTTGTTAATGATCGAAGTAACCTTGAAAATATTTTATATTAATCCTTAACCAATGAACTTCACTTCTTCAGGCTAGCGTTTTTTATATAATTACGCGAACGTGTTCACCGACGATTTAACTTACTTCGAATGGAGTATACGATTAGTTAATCGCGCTCTAAATAAGTGTGGTGGAACATTTACGTTATTAACCGATGATTAACTTAGACGTTAGGTAATGAATGATTTAACCGTAGTTGGTGGAACTGGGCAATGAAGAAGGAAATTGTTTTCTCTGATTTCTATGTGAACATCCCCTCTGTTATTCCAATTGTGATTTTTCTGACCTCTCTTTCTTCTTTTTATTATTATTTTTTTTTTGTAAAGGAGACTTTTCTTCGCAATTATCAAGGGATGATTGTGCAGTTCTGCATGCGAACTGAAAGGGGAAAGAAGGGAAGAAAGGCGGAGGTGGAGCCGGTCCGAAACGTCAAACGCACGTGGCGTAAAACGCCGGACGGACGCTCCGGCGTCGGCGTCGAAATGTCAAAGTCCTTTGACGAAGCGTCCCTCGCGATACGCACTCGCAAGCCGCTGCAACTGCAATCGCAATTGCAGCTCTCGGAGAAGGGCAGACGCGACCGCGCCCCATCGCACTCGTGGAGCACAATTGCGGCAATTATGCCCCACGAGGGGGGCCAAAGGGTACCCGAGAAACCGACCAGGCGGAGGAGGAACAAAAAGGAGGAACGTCCTCGCCGATGGGTATCGGCACGAAACAGGAAGTCGATCGCTTTTGTTTTTAATACCGGGCTTCACCGGTAGATAATTGCACCGAGAAAGGAAAAATCCAATGAACCGAAGAAATATTTTGACAATTCAAGGTACTCTACTCGAATAAACAGAAATAAATTCTCGCAATTACAAAGAAACATTGCATCCTATTTATTCCAGTTTATTTCAGTGAAATTATTCTCTGAATTAGCAAGTAACTCATTGGTACCATTTAGACATATTTCTTCGATTCAATGAAATCTCTTTGATGTGGCTATGTTGTTCAAAGTGTTTCGACATTTCGAACTCTTTCTAACGCAAATGTAAAAAGAGTGGAGACCATGGGACTGGAAATGGACATCTAATGAGAATTTCTGAGGAGAACAAAAATTTTGTTCCAGATATGTACTTAATAGTCTCGGGAATCTAATTACAATAACCATATATATTAGACCAGACTTCGATAACCAACATTTTCCAGTCAAATTAACTCGAATTCCTCCTAAATAATAACTAAAAATATTATATGATAACCACGTTCAGACTTCGATCGGCAGAATTGTCCAGGTGACGTTACTCCGAATTTCTCCAAAATAAAAACTGGAAATATTTTACGATACTCATATTCAACAATATAATATATATTTAGGACGAATGCCTTAATAAATATAAATATTTGAGCCAGACGCATTAAATGATTATCTTTTGCGAATACGAGACCTTTAGCGCCCGGAATAGTTTTTCCTCCCTCTGGGGACGGTAAGAAATTTTCGTAATTTTCTCTACGGGTGTGCTTAGTACCGAGTGAGTACACAGGGAGGGAAAACGACCAGACGAGGGTGCGTCCTCGTGCAGGGGTACACATATCGACGGGAAACCGGAAATCTTTCCTTTTTTTCCCCTTTCAGGGCAGCGTGTACCTTCCGTCCCCGCCCTCGTGTGCTCCGCAACCGGAGGTAATTACGCCCTAGGGGCTGGATTATCGTCTTAGGGGCTCTCTCTCTCTCTCTTCCCTTTGCCCGCCGTACCGAGATCTACGTGTTCCTCACCTGAATGCAAATGGTCATTAGTCGAATTCAGGGGCGACTCGTGTCTCGAAGGGGGTGCAGGACTGCCTCGACTGGCTGGCAGGTCGTACAGGTACACGTCCCCGCATTTCTGGGGTGTCACCACCTGTAATCAGCGAGTGAAATCCACAATTAACTTCCTGCCTATCACTTGTTATGTCAACGTGATTAAATCACGATGAACGAACGGCTGTCCAGATTCATACCCTGAGAATAGTACATTGCGTAACGAGGGGGAGAAGTACTAAACTCCCGAGATATGTATACTATTGTTTCCCCTCCTTGCAGACCGGAAGTCTGGCTTTGAAGTACATGTCGAATTTTTCCTACCTTATTTGTATTTATATTAGATTAAATTATATGCAGTTTATTAATACCAAATCGCAATAATATTGATATAAAGAAATCATTCTAGCGCCTAAGGAAAATTAAATGCCCATTACAGGGATTTCGAAGTAAAGAGACGCGCTTGGTTAAGCGCCGTGAACTTGTTTGAGACGCTAAAGCGTACCTCGATGGGAAAGAAACTTCCAATCCATGTTTCATGAATTTATTACAATTTTTACTTAAGCAGGCGCTTTAAGGTGACGTGAACCCCCCCTTCAAATCAGTCGATTTGAATACACGTTTTTTTTAAGGGTATTAGACCAAACTGTCCGAAACTTTGACACATCACTCCTGATCATCTAAGAATTGTCCTGACCTATTCAGAATTTGGATTTTTGGAAAAGGTTGTTTAACTTAGCCCAGACCAGAACCAAAATGGCGTCGAGCTCTCATATTTCGATCAATACATAATTATCGAAGGCTCTGATATGAGAAACGAAAGGGTCAGGACAATTTTACGACAATTTAGAACACTCTGGTAATCGATAAACTCGCATTTGAACGGGATAAAGGCAAAAAAAGTGTTGTATGCGCTTCTATGCTAAAACGATGGGAATACGAGGTCTCGGAGTGAAAATTTAATTGGCCTGGAAATCACAGATGGTGCAGGGGGTCCCTCTGCAGTCAATTAGGGCCCCAGAAAGCACGAATCCAGAGGATTTCTGGAGTTTACTTCGATTTCTTGATATTTATTGTACGAAAACGACAGGTGGAGTATGCCATTTGGTACAATATCCAATATAATTCGACACAGCTGTCGATATAAAAACGAACGCCGGCAACGTAGGCATTTAGAAAAAATCTTCTTTATCGACGTCGATCAAGTTCCTCGAGGTGTTTCACTTCACCTTAAGGTACAGTGGTTGGGTAATGCCGGGGGAAAGGATGTTTTTTGACGGAACGAAACGGGGCCAAGCCTGAGAAGCTTCGGAGCTTCGGGGAAGTTCCTGCTTCAAAGGCACTCTCGACGACATCCACCGATCGATTCGAGAGGAATTAATGCACGATGGGCTCCTCGGGAATGTAGGTCGCCTAATCGCCCTATGGCTGGTCTTTAGTCGCCGAGCTACTGTCCTGACCCGAATGGCGACCACGCCCGAAATTCAACCCCTTCGGGAGAACCGCCCGGAATTTATCGGCAGGTCCACGTATAACCGATCGATCGGCCCGAAAATTGTTTCGACTCGATCGAGCCACCAATCAATTGACTGGCTATTGCCTCGCGCTTAATAAACGTCAACGTGTCCGGAAGATCGATTAATCCGCCTCCAAAATGAACCGCCGTCGACCGTGTCCCCGAAAAAGATGACTCCAGATATGGGAAAACAAGGATTTACCGCGACCCATACTTTCCTGTCCGTGTCGGCAAATTGTCGACAGGAACTTCCTCCCTGGAAAAGGAACAATCCGAGCGGCAAAAGCCCTGGCAGATATCGTTTTTATATCCCTTCTTTCCTGTCTGAAGACATCGTGTACGTGGGGTGGTTCTAAAGTTTTCGGGAACCGCACAATTCCTCGGGAACTTTGGAACGTCCCTCGTACGCCGAGAAAGAAAGTCATTGTTTTAAAGTAATATTCGGTTCATTCAAAGAATAATTATCTCACTCAAGTGAACTCAAATGAATTGTTGTTCCGATGAAACGTTGCATCCCATTTATTCGAGTCTCAGTCAAGTATTCTTTGAATTAATAAAATGTTTCCTTGGTTCATTGAAACCTGTTATCGGTGTTGAATTAATTTTTTTTTTTATACTGGTTTAGAAAAGTATATACTAACACGGGTATGTTTCTATTTAGATTTGTTTACTCTAAATGTTTTCATTAATTATCAACCTATTTTAGTTATAGGTTATAAAGATAACACGCTTTGCGAGGTCTGCATGACTCCAAGTCAATTAAGAGATAAATTTCTTGATTTAATTTCCTATTAACCCTCTATGGGCCCGTGTAACTTTCAGGTCACATTTTAAATGACAAATTTTTTTTTTCATTTGCATGTATAGGTTCCTAATTGCTGATTTTTCGTTCCACCAATTTTTTTTTATTTAATGAAAAATTCGGCCCATAGAGGATTAAGTTTCTCCAGTTTAATATCTCCCCTAATTTCCTTATTTTAATTTTCCTTGAACAATCCTTCGCCTTAATTTCGTTTACTAAAATCTTTGGATTTTATTTCTACTCGCATCTCATCATTTTACTCCTACTTAAATTTCTCTATCCTAATTTCGTATCTCCGAAGTTCATTAGTTAAACCTTCTTCCCTTATATTCTCTTTCCTCCCTTTAATTTCCTTTTTCCTTACTTTATTTCGTTATACCTGTATATTTTAGTTAATCTTTCACGGTTTTTCGATTACGGACTCGTTATCACCCCGAACAAGGTCTCCGTTGATTCGGCAATTTCTCGATAACGAAAGCGCGCGTTCGATCACGAAAGAGATTAGCCTCGATACACGTTTCCGAGGAATCGGAATCGTTATTTTTTCACGGTAATCCGATCGTCGGTGGATCCGAATCGCGATCAATCCGACAGGGCAAGGTGAAGACGGATTGCCCGGATTTATGGATGAAGGCATGTCCGTGTCGAGATTTCGCCGAGGATGGAAATCCTTAAGAACTTCTTCGGGGTGTGCCGTATACAATCGCTTGAGGTAGATCAGGGATCTTGGCAGTGAATTTCATCCAAGGTGGCCCACTTAAACCGAACAACCGAATGTCTGCCTTGTATTTGAAGACGCGTAAAACTGCCTCGGATAAAAGAAGGGTAATTTACGGGCCCCTCGTTTCTCGGGCCTGACCATTTAAGGATACACTACAGGCCATATTTAACGAGAGAGACATTTATTCCGAAGTCACTTTGTTCGAAGCTTTGGAGTCACCGATGTTTTCTTAAACGGAACTGCGGATTATTTTATTTGACGTAAATGAAGTGTAATAATCGAGAGTAATTCAGCGAGGTACTGCACCCAGTAAACACTAAGTAGAATTCAGGTTTTGTGTAAAGTGTAAATTTAATGGAAATGGGGGAGTAGGTGTAACAATTAAACGTTTCTCCGCCCACGGTTTTCGTTTTCACTACGTTAAATATACATTTGTCAAGTAACTTTATTTTTTACGCTTTATTTCTTACACCTTGTTTTTTACGCGTTTTTTATCGCCGACAAATAAAGTCCAGATTCGATCGTTCAAATCTCCCGGTCCTTACGTCAACCATGAACATTTGCCTAATTATTATTTTAATAACGTGGCAGCTTTATATAAAACTGACTTCGGCACCGTTTTTTGAAAACGTATGAGAGCAAAAAATCATTCTCTAGGGCAATAAAAAAGCAATAAATTGGCAGGAAATTTTACAAGAAATTATATTGAATTGTACTAAGGTAGCATTTATGACGATCGATCCTACTGTCACGTGACATCGCGTGATAACGCGACGCCGAAGATGAGCCGTGACGAGGGATCACCGAATGCGCGGATCCTCGATATCTCGATCTTACAATTCCTTTGTCAAGCAGTATGTAAATTCACACGGGCCCTTTTATCAGCCTAATCCCAATAATCAGGATAGCGAGGGACAAGAAATAGGAAAGTCGACCAGTTCCGAATTAAATCCGATCTCCGGCCGCCCCGTAGAGGCGAGATCCTTTCGTGAATACGCTTTCGAAATCCTAGCTCGTAAACTCCACGGGTAATCGTGGATTTCTCAAGATGCAGTTATCCGGTGGACCTCGGTCCTGGATTCTGCTACGACGGGAGGGAACGCGACATTCTGTTGATAAGGACCACGGCTCGGGCCGTAAACCGCGAAGGAAATAGGAAAAATCTACGGAGCCTTGGTTATTAATGAACGGCTGAAAAGTTGGCGGAAAGAGCAGACCTCGTGGCAGCGTAAACCGACAGGGAGCGTTTATCCCACGCGAACGAGTTTCTCGGTTCATTGATACGCAGTCCTTGCAGAGCCTCGGCCCACGCCCTGACGGACGGGACCCCCTCGCGCCTGCTTTCTTTTCCTCTCATTTTTCTCTCTCCCGCGAGCCCCTTCTCCGCCTCTTTTCTCTCTCTCTTTCGAGCGAGCGACCGGCCGACATGGCAGACCGGGTCCTGTTTCTGCACTTTTCTTGGATTTTTCCGACCGAGGCCGCGTCGAGGGGCCTCCACTGGTACCGGGGCGACTGGGCCGATCGGATTGTACAGGGTGGTCAGGGTTGGTATAATAAATCATGTACTATACGTGATTTTTATACGTATATTACAACGTAGGACACGTCTCTAGTTTTATACGCGAGCGTAAAGTAGGCAGAGTCAGCTCTTTTAGTCAATTCAAAATTCGTCTGGTCGCATTGTATAAAAAAAACGTTTCGCCGAAAACAATTAGTTCCCCTGAACGAAAAATGTTTTCGGAGTAGGGTTGCATAGGTATAATAAGTCATGTACTATACGTGATTTTTATACGTATATTACAACGTACGACACGTCTCTAGTTTTATACGCGAGCGTAAAGTAGGCAGAGTCAGCTCTTTTAGTCAATTCAAAATTTGTCTGGTCGAACTGTATAAAATGAAAAGTTTTGCCGAAAACAATTAGTTCCCCTGAACGAAAAATGTTTTCGGAGTAGGGTTGCATAGGTATAATAAGTCATGTACTATACGTGATTTTTATACGTATATTACAACGTACGACACGTCTCTAGTTTTATACGCGACCATAAAGTAGGTGGAGTC